ATTGAATCTGAATAATCTTCTACATAATTTAGCTAACCAAATTGCCGCTTTGGTTCAGCAAATGCAGACTACACCACTACCGCAAGTTAATGTTCCTGCTAATCCTTGGGAACTTAATACTATACCTTACCCTGAATTTCATGGAGGAGATCAAGATCCTATAATTTGGCTTGAAGATATTGATAAAGCCTTTGAAGCCAATCTTATATCACCACTTTGGAAGATTTCTGTGATCGTTCTAATGCTTAAAGGCTCTGCTATGACTTGGTGGGTTATGAGAAGAAATCAGCACCCCATAATCAATCGATGGCATGACCCTCTAATATCTCAACAGAGTTTCACTACTCATTTTATAAACAAATTCAGGACCCCTGAGTTGGAAGCGAAATGGTTTGCGCAGTTAATCCAAAGGAAATAGTTGCTAGCTAAAAGCGTGGATGAATACTACACAGCAATTGAAGAAATGCTTTGACGAGTAGAGTCAGGCAGGTATCAGTACCCTAATATGGCTAAAGCACAAATATTTATTATGGACTTCATTCTGAATTGTTTATAGCCATATCACCTTTAACCCCTAATTCGTTAGAAGAAGCATATACCAGAGCAAAAGCATTTGAGAATGCTTATAAACAGAATTCTGTTCAAACTGCTTATGCAACTCCAACAGTATTTCATTCTCTTTATAGTTTCTCTGGAACCCCAAACCTAAACCTCACTAGTTCAAATGAAACGGCTGAGGCTTTGAAAACTTTAACGAATTTAATCGATAAGCTTATTACTCAACTTCAAGATCAGCGAAGGCCACCATCTAGATCTCGGTCTGAAAATTTTATCCCATCTCTGTAACATGTTTCACTTGTGGCCGTACTGGACATTATAGTCAAAATTGTCCTGATCTACCTAATAATCATAACTCTTCAGCTAATAATCAGCCACCTGTAGTTAATAATAATAATAATCCTGGTGTTAATAATAATAATAATTCTACTCTTAACGGAAATGACCCTCAAGAAACTCTGCAAGCCCTATTGGCATTAATAAATAATATTCCAGGTATTTTTAATAATGCCAGGAATCAAACTTCATATTTAGAAATTCCTGAAGATGAGTTATTATTTTTACTAGCAGAAAGGCCTATTCGTCCCAAGCCTATAGTAAATATGCCGATTCTTAGGAAAAAGTCAACTGGAATGAAAACAACTGATTTAATCGATCTTGAAGAAGGAGAGAGTACTAAAGATCCAGACATAGAAATAGA